AAACACCAGGGTAGTGCAGGACACCCTGGTGTCACTATGGAGACCCACGGATGCAATGGAGGAGGGACTCAGGGAGTGGACTGACCCTTGGGCACAGAAGGGGTGTGGGGAAGAGGGGACAGGGCCACTCTGAGCTTGTGGGCTCTTGAGAGGCAAAGGGGGCAGGGCAGAGCTCTGGCTGCTTCCTGCAGCAGCCCTGATTGGCTGCTCTTCCCAGGAGGCAGGGCAGTGGCACAGGCAGCCAATCAGAGGGAGCTTTCCCCAGGCAGGGCTGGAGTGCCTGGTCCCATGGCCAGACTGGCTGCAGCCCTAGTAGTGGCCCTTTGGTGCCGGCCCTGGGATGGCAGTGACCACAGGGCTGACTCCGATCTTGCTCCCACCAGGCACTGGGCAGCTCCCTTCCCCTGGGCGTCAGAGTGAGTCAGGCTGGTGTCCGAGCTCAGGGGTGCTGTCCCCTCCCCATGGTACCTGGCAGAGGATAAGGCATGCCGGGGGTTAAATGCAGTAGTCCGAGGCTCTCAGCCTGAGGGGCACCACAGCAGAACAAACGCCAGGGCACTGCCTCAGCCTACCCTCCCCGTGACAACACCGATAATGCGGGGGGCGAGGACATCACAGACCCCTTCCCTTTCCATGGCACCATTAATGCACAAACTGCCGCAGGGAACGAGCAGTTTGGTTTTGGTTCTTCCTAACAATGTTTGGGGCATTTCTGCCTTTTCCCTTTGGCCTCCCCCTGTGCCAGGCAGCAGCTGAGGTACAAACCTGCATCTCCTTGTTATTCCTACATGGTTCCCTAAGGGTCTGACCTAGAGACCCTCACTGAACAGGGAGTAGACTCAGAGAGCTGCCTCAACCTCCAGGCAAAGAGAGGGTGTGTAAGCAGGATACATGCAGGTTGAATCCTGATTGCAAGCTTTTATCTCTGCGTTTTGCTCTTGTGCCTTGTGCATCTGCACCACATCTCCTTTGCCTCCTGTGCAAGTGGCGAACAGGTGTTTTTTCTCATGACACAAACCTTCCCATATGGTGGGAGACCCCTTCCACCAACACTTATGGCAGAAGACCCCTGGAAAACGAACTCACGGAACTCCCCTGGTTTGGTGTAGGCCACAATTTTACACAGGGTTCACCTGGTGGCAATGGGGATTAAGATCAAACTAACATATAGGATTTGTTAATCTTTGTTTATGTTCGTCTCACTAAGGAAAATGAAATTAAACATGAAGTTAATTATTAATTAAAGAATAAGAGACTAATTATGTGATAACCTGAAGGATATTGTAATACTGAATGTCACCTTGTTTTCCTTTCTGTTAGCAATACAGGAAATGATGGCTACTCTGGGAAAAGTGTATTTGATGTAATTTACCCCCTTTGGACTAAAGTATTCTGAAGGAACACCTCACTCCAAAGGTTGGGGTGAGGGACTAGGTGAGAAAGACAATGTCTCTGAGACTGCAGACCTGCTATAGACTTCAATTAATTCTATTGCAGATGGAATTTATTTTGACAACCTTTAAAGTCAATTTTCTGTTAAGAGAGAAACTACTTGAGGAAACAAGTTGTGTAATCTTTTACCCAGTTAGCCTGTAACAGCCACTGACTTCTCCACTTCTCTTGTTTGCAAAGCAAAGCTGTGACATCTGCTGTCACCTGTCCACCTTTATTATTAAGGGCTGGTCTACACTAGGGGGGGGGATCAATCCAAGATACGCAACTTCAGCTACGCTAATTGGATCGAATTACCTGGGGTCCAGACGGCACGGGATCGACGGCCGCGGCTCCCCCATCGATTGCGCTACCGCCGCTCGCTCTGGTGGAGTTCCGGAGTCGACGGTGAGCGCGTTCGGGGATCGATATATCGTCTTAACAAGACGCGATATATCGATCCCGGATAAATCGATTGCTAAGTATGGTACCCTAAGAATGGTGATGAATGCATGAAGGGGAGTTTTAAAATGTCTACCACGACTGATGTTCATGGTCCGCAGGCCCTTTTCCTTTTGAGGAGGCCAGATGTTAGCGCACGGCTGCTTAACCCTCAGGCCAGGCTGTGGAAACGTTCTCAGAACTGGCCTCGCCTTTCTTTTCGATAGCTTTGACGTTCACATAGCCACCCTGCATGTGGTTTGCAACAATGAATATTTTAAGAACACTTCAGGGTTAAGCAGGACTCTTCAAAACTGACATTGGCCCAAAGTCTGCCTCCCTTCAACAGGACTGGGCCGTGTTGGCTGTATCCCAAGCCAGGGCTGGCTCAGGCTTTTTTGCCGCCCCAAGTGGCGAAGGGAAAAAAAACCCCACGATCGGCGGCACTTCGGCGGCAGCTCAACCGCGCCACTTCATTCCTCGGCGGTAATTCGGCAGCAGGTCCTTCGCTCCAAGAGGGACTGAGGGACCCGCCGCCAAATTGCCACCGAAGTCCCGGACGTGCCGCCCCTTCCCATTGGCCCAGCGGAGGCACCATAAGGTGGGGTAAGCTCAAATCATCGCCAAAAACATAAAAGTACAGGCAGAAATCCTTCGCCTTTCAGACCAACACGCCGTCTACGAGAGACTGACATTCCAGGGCCCTGAGACTGATTCCCTCTGGCGAAGGAAGTCTCGTCTATTAACTGGGAGATGTCTGGCCTTTCCATTATTAAGGGTGTGACGGTGTGGTTGAGTGTGTGCGTGTGTGTATGAGCACCTGTCAAATCCACACAAAGAGGGTGCCATACAGAGCAGTGCCCTAAATCTAATTCGCTCCAAAGCTCTGCCCCATGAAATCGTTTGATGTTTTCTTCGTTCTGTGAAATGATTCAACAGAACTAAGCTGCCTGTTCTACATTTTTCAGCGAGAGCTGTTGAACGTCTACTTATTAAAGTCGCAGTAAGGTCTGTAGCTGTGTTGGGGGTTGGGAGACAAAGAATAGTGCATAACATCATTTTCTGTGATAGCGTCATTTTCAGTTAAGGCAGGACTTCCAGTGGCATTGAGGAGGGTGGGACTTCCTGTGACAGGTGGGTGGGACTTCCTGTCATATCATCCTCATCTCATCCATCAATCTCCTTAACAGGCAGTAGGGTTAAGGAGGTCCAAGCCCACAGGAGATATTGGGCAGAACAATCCCACTGAAATTCCAACAGGGCGAGGGAAATTAGTATGAGCTGACAACCACAGCAACGAAATCCTGCCTGGACTCAGTAAGTCTGAGCTGCATTGAATTGTCTTCCGGTCCATGCTTTCCCGAGGCACAAGAGCGTGCACATCAGGCTAGTGGAGTAAAACCCTGCCACTTTCCCCAGGAGGGAACAGTGGCGAGTTGCTTTGCTGACTTTAGCTAGCAGGGTACCCCCTCTGCCCACAGGCCGGTCTGTACACACTGGCTGACTGTAAGGGGGAATGAGGGCAAACCCCTTTACAGAAGATACAGTGCCCAGTTACTCAGTGCAATCAGTGCTCGGTGCACTACAAAGGACCTCGGCCGGGGATGGCCAACTTCAAACCGGGGGGGCAGAAGCTAGCTCTGAGTTTCTAAGGCACGGTGCACTGAGTGGGAAAGCAGTGAAGGGGGGAGGGTAAGGAGGAGAGATGCCAGCTGGGAGTGATACATCAGTGTGCTATTTCCATGCTGCCGCTACCCCCAGCAGTGTTGTGGGGAAGGGGCCGGGGTCTCCTTGATCTGGGATGGGAAATGCAGAGGCTTTGCAGAGGGCCCCACTTGGAGGCTCTGGAGATCTGTCCCAGTGCTGAGTTTGGTGCACAGAATAGAAAATGCCCCGTGTGCAGCACGGCCAACCCTGAGCCTCCAAACACCGGGAGTCGGATCCCCCAGAATAATGAGACTGGCTTAGAAATCAACAGATTAAACACTTAACACGTCCCATTGCTGTTCTTCTCCCTCCCTTCTCCAGGAAGTCTGGGCAGGGGGCAAGCTCCCGAGCGGGGTCAGTGCTGGCTGAGTTCTCCATGTCCCAATCAGGGCGATGTGCAGTCATGCCGAGCTCTGGGTCCCTTGGCTCAGCCCAGCCAGGGGTCACCAAAGGAGGAGGAGGAGGAAGGGGCCCCCAGACACTGGTGGGTGGGGAGGCCAGGACCGGTGCCCGCTGGTGAGCCATGAAAGGCAATGCCCCGCTGGGTGTCCGGGGACCTTTACCCAATTTCCAGGTCTCCACGGGGCAATGCGAAGTTCCATGCCCCTCCCCAGGCTCGGCCTGGCTGGGGGATGGCAGCTGGGAACACTGCCAAGTGCCCGGCCATCTGGTCTCCCTGTCATTTGGGGGCACCAGAGGCTGCAAGTGTTTGAGAGTTTCCCAAGGCCGCGGAATGGAGGGAAAGTCCCAACAATGTTTTCCCCGAGGGCGCTGAAGGATCATGACTGGGGGGCGTGCGCCGGCTCAGGGGACCCGGAGGCGGGGAATGGATGGCCGGGCTCTCCAGCTGAGCTCACCCACACTCTCAGAGGCCTCTCGGCGGGCAGGGCCGGCCCCTGACAGCAGAGCTGGGGAGGGGAGCAGGCCAGGCAGCCCTCTCAACCGCCCCCCATTACAGCCCCAGACGTGGAAAGGCCTGGGAACAGTAGGCCAAGCTTGACTAACAGCACCTCTACTTGTTCCCCATATAATTAGAGAGAGAGAGAGAGAGC